CCTGTGGGAAACAACAGTGCAGAGCTGGCATTTCATCCTCGTAGGTGCAAGTGGGATGTGGTTCAACAGGGAAGAGGTCAGCAGGAAATGAAGGCTTTGTTTTTACAGCAGCATGCCATATAGCAGGGCTACTCCTGCGTGGCTGCTGCTCTCTGAAGTCCTTCAGCCTCATCTTTTGTAGGAAAGCAGTGGTTTGGGGGCAGTGTCAGTGACCAGGTGTCAGCAATAGGGAACCCTCCGAACAAAAGCCCTCTGGAATGCAGTCCATGCGATAGAGCAGCACACTGGACAAAGAGTCACCTGGCTCTGGAGTAGTGGCAAAGTCTGCATTAAACCATCCTGGCACTGCAGTACCCCCTGTGCACCCAGCAGTAAATCAGGAAGGACGTTTCCCAGAGTGATTTAGTGGGATGCTTGAAGTGGCACATAAACGTTTGCATATTGCTGTGAGCGTGGGAGCAGCTTTACAAGTGCTAGGTGTTATTATTTTGTTTGGAAACGGTGTTCTCTTTAAAATCAATACCACAAAGAAGAATACAAGAGCAAGCGAGTTAACTTGCTGCAATAGTCTCATTATTGCCATTAGCAGAGGATTGTAACCCACACTGACAGCCCTTCCAGCTCCAGCTGTTCCTCTCACTTGGCATAAAGCAGCACTCGCTTCATCCTGACAGCACTCTTATCTCTGACCCTTGCTTGGAAAATTGTGTTTTCTCCTCCTACCTGGAAATAAAATGTTGTAGACGGGCCTTTAAACCATAAAGAAACAAAAAAATAACCCTGGATGTGGCTTAAAACACTGCCCATGAGCACTGTGCCATCAATCAGCCATGCTAGCACTGAGCACAAGGAGCGTGGCCCGTTCGTTAGGTGGGCAGCACATCCTCAGCTATGAACCCTGTGCAGGGAATTGGTGACTGCATGGCTGTGCATCACGGTGGGAATGCTCATCCATCCTCCTGTGCCTGCATTCTGCACGTGCATTGACTTCCCATCGCTCTCTGATGTTTTGGGTCCTATCCATCCAACAGCTGCAAGCTCTCACTTTGGGTCTGAGGCCTGCCCTGCTGATGGGGGATGTTTAATTCATCTCCTTGGCTGCTCTATCCTGGTTTAACGTCCTATAGGTGCCACTTATCACTCTTCTCCCCACTTTCCCTTAACGCTGTGCAATTCCCCTGTTAAATATTTACTGTTCTCTCCATACCAGTGAGGCTCACCGTTCCCTTCAATTTCAATTAAAGATTTACCAGGTGGGCATTGGCATCCATGGTTCAGCCCTTGTCCAGCACAGAGCATCCGTGTCGCTGCGCCGGGACGAGGCAGCTCGTGGCAAAGCCTCATCACTGCTGTAATATTTATAACGAACCAGCTTTTTAAAATCAATATTTTACTGGGGAGGTTGCTGGGGTAATTCACGCTCCGAGCATCCTGCCTCCACCAGAGAGAAGCCTGGCCTATTAGGGATAATTAACTTTTTGCTAGTTACCTTTCGTGAAGTCGTAAATCTTTAATGCTGGCTGGGAATTTAATAATGGAGGTCGAGCAGTGACCTCAAAGCTGACAGCAAGGTTGGGGATGGAAGGGGGGGAAGCTGGGAGCACAGTGAGGATGGAGGGCACAGCATCTGTGCTCTTCCAGCCCAGCTGTACTCACACAGCTGCTTTGCATGGAAGGAGAAAACCCCCACATTTCCAGGAGGAAAACCCAACATTTCCATGCAAGCTGCTGCCCCCATCCATCCTCTTCGGGCTCTTTCTCAGCTGCTGAGCAGCACTCAGAATTATGTTTCCAAGCAGGAAAGGCAGAAGGCTCCTCATTATCCCCCCCCACCCCTTACACACACCAGGATTTTGGGATGCACCACAGCCTCTCCCCCCATAGCAGATGTTCCCCCCTCTCCTGCAGCCGGCTGTCGCTCCGCTGCATTATTTATCCACTCGGTAACATTTGCTGGGATTTAGTGTTTAATAACTGTCACTCCAATATATCTTTCCTTAATCCCCCTCAGATCTGGCACGGTGGCAATTTTAAATATTTATCAGCTCTGTTTGTGTATTCGCTGTTAAGGTTGCAATTTTCTTGTAATTAAAGATTTACAAGATGCTGCGTGAGGTGTACAAAGGGTTGGTAAGGACCAAAGCCCTCTGGCATTCAAGCTGGAAACCAGCAGCTCCCCATAGGTTTTCCATGGGTCTGAGTGATTGGGCAGCCACCTCCATGCATCTCCAAACAGGTTTTGCTGTTGTTTTTCCCCACTGCTGCTCTCAGCGTGGCTCCTCGTGGTGCAAAGCAGCTATCTGCAAGGGATGGGACTTTCAGCCCCCTGCTGCTGTGGCTTTGCCCTTCCAAACCCTCACACTGCTTCTCTCCCTATGGCTCTTTGCCTGCTCCTCCCAGTTGGGTTCCAGCTCCTTGTTCCCTAGCAGCATCCATTTCTCATTAGCAGGAGCCCTGCCACATGCAAACCCAAACAAAATTTCCCCTCCCTGCTCCTCATTAGGATTTAACACAGCTCCAGAATGAGTCCACGGATCCCTGGCTCACCAGCATCCATAGCACATTGGCGTGGAGTGACAAAGCAGCACTGTGTCCCCAAACCTTTGCTTCTTTGGTGACCCCCCCAAAGCAGGAAGTGAGCCCTGAGCACCCCAGTGCAAGGGGGAAGCATCCCAAAACACAGAACAGGGATTGGAAATGAAGCAAAGCAGCTAATTGCAAAGCACCCCCTCCCAACACCAAGGAGGTCAGTGCTTGCCTGGCTCAAAGCAGACCTCCATCTGCCCCAGCTGCTCTCCATCAGTATGATTGATGGGCGCCTCATTGCCCACCTGAGCTCGACTGAACCCATTTCCTCGGTGGTTGGCTCATGTAGGAAGCTAGAGCTGCAGTATGCAAAGGGCTGAGCAGCTCTCTTTCTGTTTCCCCATCTTCAGAGCATTGCAGCAGAGCAGGGAGAGGTGATGGAGCGTTTGGAGGGAGAGATGCTCACCGTGGAGATTGACAGGCAGGTCTTCCTGGAGGTTTTTTGAGCTGCACCTGCTTCATCCTAATGGCATCATGCATATGGATAACACTGCTGACATTTCCCAGGGAGGTTGGACGTTTTAATTCAAATCATTCTGGAGGAAGTGCTGGAGGAGAGGCCTGCTTTGATTCCCTAATGAACCAATAATGATGTGCCCACTGTACTTCTCTGGGAGCCCAAAGGATGGGGATGTGGGGGCTGCCCAGCAATGGATGCTGAGTGCAGGGCAGTGCTGTGGGGCTGCATGAAAGAAGGGCCCCTCTAGAAACTTGTTTTATTAGGAGCTTAAAATAGAGCCTGGCATGCTGTGTTCTCAGTTGGCTCTGCCAGAAGCTCTCTTGCATATGGGATCCATGATGCTGCTTGCACTGAGAAAGAGGAGGAGGAGGGATGGAGGGCGGAAGAAGCAGAAATGAGACGTGGAGAAACGAGAATCCAGCCCTGGATCTGCTTTGACTTTGGTGGCAGATTGAAGAGCTCTCCTGCTTTCCACTGCAGGCTCAGCCTGCGAGCAGAGGAGGATCCATGAGCCCTATAACACTTTGCAGCCACTATAATTCACCCTGAAAAGCTCATTTCTGGCCTGATGCCCCCGATCAGGAGCTGGAAATGGCACGAAAAATTGCAGAGGGGAAATTTATTGCTGGGCTTGGTGCAGGATGCTGAGATTGAGCTGTGCAGTGAGGGCTGTGGGGTGCTGCCTCACAGTGCTGCATGGGCTCCAGCATGGGGATGGGGAGGGGTTTCACCTGACACAGCACACTGATAATGAACAGCAGCAGCAGTGAATAGTGGATGAGGCACTGATGGTGCTCTCCAACTGCTGCCCACAGCCAGGTCTATGGACAGGGGGTTTATAAATGGTTTGAAAACAGCTCCTTTTGGGAGTGAGGGATTTGGGATCTCCCTATGGAGGAAGGGAGCTGTATCCTGCCCCAGCTGAATTTACTGCATGCATCTTGCATTTCAATCTCTGGTTTGCAGCGCTGCTTATTTCTCAGCAGCTCTTTCAGTGGCTTGCAGCAGCCATTTAACTGAACTGCAGTGCAGTGCAGTGGACTCCATTCATTTGTGACTTCAACTGATGGTCAGAGAAAGCAGGAGAGCAGATTCCCTGCTTAGCAGATTCCCTCCCTTCACTTCCCACAGTGTACAGCAGTGCAGGGGCTGAACTGTCCTGGGTCCCATTCCCTCCTGCATCTGAAGGTTTGTTACCATCAAGCCCTCTTGCTGCACAGCAGTACATACAGAAATTTAGAAGAAAAACAAGAAAAACAAGAATATCCTTCCTCCCCCTCTCCCCCTTCCTCTTTCTGTAACATCACCCTCTGAAGTTTACAAAACAGCCATGAGATTGCGCTTGCAGGATATGGAGTTGCAATCAGGCAGCCCTATGGGGATGCCCATTAAGAGATGCGTCACTGCTGCCACTTCTGCTCCGTTTGCCCCACGTGGCTGCCATCCATCCCCTCTGCTTCGCTCTGGGGGATGGCAGCGAGCAGCAGGAGGGAGCTGGGGGTGGCTTTGTGGCTGATTACTCAAGAAAAACAAGAAGCAAACAAAGGAAAACGTATCCTAAAGGGAAAGACTTTTTTTTTCTTCCTTTTTTTTTTGTTTTTTTTTTTTGTATTTCCAAAGCAAGGACTGTCCAACCAGGGCGTGTGGGAAGGGGTGACCTGCTGCCCATCCCTATGGCTCTTCAACCATCCCAGCTGTCCCAGGGCTGCTTCTAGGAGCTACACACAGATCCAGACCGTGTAGAGCTCTGCAAGCCCCGCGGCCAAGCTCTGCTCCTTGACATCCCCACGCTGCTTTGTCTCTTAGCCAAGTCCTTGATATTACACCATGTCTTCACTTTCTGTTCTGTTTTGTGTGATTTTTTTTTCCTTTTTTCTTTTTTTTGGTAAAAAATAGTTTCTCCCTCCCTCTCCCCACCCCCACTCCCCACCCAACCCAACCAATATGACAGCCTTCAGGAGTCCAGGGGTGCCGCCTGCACCTCCACAGCCAGGAGCTGCCCGCTGCGTGGCCCCTGAGCCCAGTGCTGGGCGAGATGGGGGTAAACCACTCGCACTGCCCCTGCATCCCATAGTGCATCACCAGCCCTCCTGGGCTCGTCCCCAAAACCACAGCGAGCCACCAGGCCGATGGCCAGCAGCAGGATGCTGAGTGCCAGCAGTGTCAGGAGGCACTGCCTGTCCCCGAGGAAGCGGTGGTGGCGGATGGCCTCTTTAGTCCTGGCGTTGACGCATGCCACCTTGGCCTGCAAGTCTACAAAGGCCACGTGGAGGCAAGCCCAGTACTCCGTGTCCTGGTGGAGCCGGGTGATGTTGTACGCGTGGGTCCCCAGCGGGATGCGAGCGACGTTGGTTGTGTCCAAGCTGGAGCTGAGCAGGAAGCTGGACCAGGTGAGGTTGGAGGAGACGGCGTTGAGGTGCGGCTTCCAAGTGAGCAGGATGTGGTAGGGCTGGATGTCCAGCACCACCAGCTCCAAGCTGGCCTCGCTATGCGGGAAGGAGCTGTTGACCAGCACGGTGATGCTCTTGGTGTCTGCCCCCAGCAAGTTGTGGGCCACGCAGGTGTAGAGCCCGGCCTCCTGCGCTGAGATCCCCATGATCTCCAGAGTCCCTTCGGGGTGCACCTTGTAGCGTCCGTCATGTGCATAGGGGATTAACTTCATCCCCGAGGGGGTGACCCAGTAGATCTCCGGATCCGGCTCTGCCATCGCCCGACAATGCAAGGAAATGTTGTCACCATCCGTCACTTCCAGACGGGAGGGAAAACTCTGGGTGGAGATGAGAGGCAGACACCGATCCGCCATCTCTCGGAAGGGGACGTCCCGAATGTGCCTCCTGTTGAGGTCGGGGGGCTCAGCACACAGCGTGGACTGCGGCTCGATGAAGCGGATGCGGGTCTCGGTGCTGTTGACCCAACGGATGACGCAGTCGCAGCGGATGGGGTTGCTGTGGATGCTGATCTCCTGCAGGTTGGGCAGGGACTCGACCGTCTGCTTATGCAAGGCACTTAGGGCGTTGTTGTTGAGCATGAGAGTTTCCATTTGGGGAAGGTGGTGGAAGGCGTTGGGGTGGATGAAGGACAGCTTGGGGTTGTTGGTGACGTCCAGCTTGGTCAGCTCGGGGAGGTTGATCAAGGCGAACTTGTCAATGGACACCAGCTCCTCCATGTTGTTGAGTCCCAGCTCCTTGAGGTGCAGCATGTTGGTGAAGTCACTCTGCCTGACCCTCTGCAATGGGTTTTTGTTCAGATCCAGGAACTTGAGGCTGGGCACTCGCTGCAGAGCCCTTTTGGGGACGGTCACCAGCTTGTTGTCATAGAAAGAGAGGCTCTCCAAGCTGCGCAGCCCCTCCAGCGCGTAGTCCGAGATCTCCCTCAGGTTCATCCCAGCCAGCACCAAGCTGCGAAGGTTTGACAGGGGCCTGAAATTCATATCCAAGATAGCATCCACCCTGTTGCCTCCGATCATGAGAATCTCCAGGCTGGGCAGCATCTGGAACCAGCGGCTGTCCACCATCCGCAGGAGGTTGGAGTTGAGATGCAGGCGCAGGAGGCTGCCGAGGCCGGCGAAGGCACGGGGCGCGATCCTACGCAGCTGATTGTGGTTCAGGTAGAGCTCCTGCAGGCTGCCCAACCCTGGGAAGCTGCTGTCGGGCAGCTCGGTCAGCCGGTTCTCCTCCAGGTGCAGGCTGAGCAGCTGCGGCATGCTCTTCAGGCCGAAATCCCAAACATCAGAGAAGCTGTTCTGCGACAGGTCCAGCTCTGTGAGGTTTCGGAGATAGTCCAGCTCGCTCTGCTCCAGCCTGGCGATGTTGTTGCTTTGCAGAAGCAGTGTGTGCGTCCCCGCTGGCAGATCCTCGGGCACGGCAGTGATGAACAAATCATTGCAGTCCACGGTGGCAGCCTCCCGGTACGCAGAGCGCGGGGTGTACCAGGGTCTGATCTGGCACACGCACTGCAGAGGGCATTTCACCTTCCAGGGTACGATGGGGATGGCAGCAGCAGCCACTATGCAGAGCAGCAGCGAGCTGCCCTGGAAACCTCTCATTTTTGGGTGGTGGGACCGGCCTTCCTTCGGTCAGGAAAAGCTCAGGGGGTGCAGCCAGAAAGGGGCATGGGGTGACCGTGGTGGGGACGGGGTCTGCAGGAGATGCCCCAAGCGAAGCCCTCAGAGCAATCAGCCCCCACTGCCCTGCCTGCAGCCCCCCAGCTGAGGGCACATCACCCCCTGATGTGGGACCAGTCCTCTAATCAGAGCTTCGCCTCCTCTTCCTCCCCAGTGGGTTCATTTTGGCACTCTGCTGCATTTTCCTGGTTGCTCCTCAAGATCATTCCTGAAAGAGGGCAGACGAGGAGTTGCGTTAGAGGAGACCTTACACACATGGCACGGGCTGGAGAAGCAAAGCCCCATACACGGGAGCTCCAGCATCAGCCCCAAGACATACTAATACATCCACTTCGCCTGCTTTGTATCAGCAGCATCACCTCTCCCCTCCCAGCCCAAGAGATGTTGGCTCATGGTTGCTCTGTACAGGGCTACCAGCAGCCCATGGACCTCTCACACCCGTCTCATCCTCTTTAGTCCTACATTGCCCTGGCCTGGGGAATCCCACCCCAGCTGCCCTCTGGAAACCAGAGGAGGGGCTGGGACCAACCATCCAACCCCAAGCATGCACCTCAGCACTTAAAGCACTGCTAGGATCTAATTAACAGGACCAGGAGTGGCTGAACTCACTAGAGGCTCCTGGAAGAATAGAGAAGCCCATTAACCCCATCCCTGCTGGGTGCACCCCCTCTTATCACCCCCTTGTTCTCCCTATAAAGGGCTTCCAAACAAACTCTGTTCGGCATCAACTCAACCAAACTGATGCCAGAATTGATCCCTGCACCGCCTGCTGTGGGGGCACTGCCTTTAAAGCACCTCCTGCATTATAGGAGGGGAAGGTGGTATTGATTTCTGCCGCTTCTGATGGCCCCTCATCTTTCTTTTTAAATGCACGGACACTCCTGTGGCTGTAAATCTCTCCAGCCATTAAAATATCATAGAATTTTTTCTCCTTAAGAAGAAATAATACGAAAGAATATATATATGTATTCTAATATGTCATTATGGTTGTGAGGAAGAGCCCAGAAAAGTGCTCTTGCCCAGGGTTGGCTATGGAAAGCCCTGTGTGTGAGGTGATGCTCCAATGGCCTGGGTGGTTGTATAGCAAAAGGACCCGAATTTACAGAAAACCATCATTTTCTGCTTGTGTTTCTGGTTCTGTTGGACACATTCCCCAAACGGATCAGGGAGGGCTGATGCTGTGCACACAGCATTGCATCAAGAGGCAGCAGAAGCCCAGAGGGGGGAAAAAGAAGAAGAAAAAAAAAAATAGCACAAAATAGAAAAGCAACGAGAATGAGAATTGATGAGGCACAGAGAAGGGAAGAGTCTTTTCATCAGCAAGTTTGCTGGATGAAGCCAGGAGATAAATCACTGCATGGAAGGAGCTTTGGTCGCTGCTGCCTCTCCCCTGCTGCCACGGAGCAGCCCGGCTGCGGGAGATGGATGGCTGCAGCTGAGCCGGCTCCCTGCCCTCCCCTCTCCCTTAGCAGCAGGGAGAGGGGCTGATGGTCCCCGGGGTGTGCAATGGGGCAGGAGGCGATGGAGAGCCTCTGTCACCCTGATAGGGTGCTGTCTGGGGAAAGGCAGAGGTTGAGCAGTGGATCTTCTCTGCAAGCAGCATCAATCCTGCAGTGGTGTCCCCGGGTGATGTCCCCAAGGCTTAGCAGCCATCTCAACCACGCTGGGTGCACAGCACTGCCCTGAGCGTGCTGTGAGCTCCTGCCAAACCCTCCTCTTTTCTGAATGACGGCTTTACCGAATCTGAGTGTGGCTGTCACAGCTTTCCCATTTCACTGTGCTCAGGCAGCCGTGAGCCTCTGCATCCCCATCAATGCAGTGCCAGATGAGAAGTGGCAGCCAGATGCTGGAGGACCTGTCCCCTCCCCCAATGCCTTTTTGCTCTTTTCCAGGGCATGATGCCATGGAGGAGCCCAAGGGGGATCCAACCCTTGTGTGCAGGGAGCAGGAGGGTGGGAACACACAGCTCTGCAGGGCTTTGCAGCCTGAGATGCACACGCTTGCTCCAGCCCAGCAGGATCCTCTGTGCACTGAGATACCGATATCAGACCCGTGTGTGCATCTCTCCTGTGTGCACCCCCACGGAAGGGATTTATGGCAGAGCTTCACCCCTCCTTCAGCTTGGGTGATGTTTATCCCTATGCTGAAGTCACATCTGCGCTGCTCAAACCTCACAGGTTGTATTAACGAGAAAACCAGCAGCGAGTTAAAGGGTTCTGTATTGATTACTTACAGAACTTGGAAGTAAGGCACCCTGCCGTGATCTGAAATGCTCCTCTATCCCTCTTTGTCTGCAGCATTCCATCCTGCTGGGCTTTGCTGTGATGGCCCGTTGGTGTGGTGTGGCTGGGGATAAGCACAGCATCACCATGTTAACAGCCTTCTGTGGCTCTGGAAGTGAAATGTCAGTGCTGGAGCATCGCTGTGGGCTGTGTGATGGTGTGGAGCACAGGATCAACCCCGAGCTACAATGTGCTGAGTGCATCCCAAGGGATCTCTGAACTGCAGCATTCTGGATGAGCCACAGCTGCGATACTGGCAGTATCTACTAGATAGCTGTTAATCTCTAATGAATGCTTTTAATGATCCCCTGCTTAACATACAATACCTGACGTGTTAAATCTCACTTAAAGTGCTGAGGACCAGTCGTTATCGGGGGCTGATGGTGGTGGGGTGGAGTGAGAAATGATGGAGCTGTGGGTGCCCCTGTTTGTGGTGGGGAGTGGGAGGTGATGGTCTATAGAGGTCCTTTTCAATCCCAACCCTTCTGTGATTTGAGGCACACAGCCTCGTGGTGTTGGGCTGACGGTTGGACGCGGTGATCTCAGTTTTCTTTTCCAACCTTAATAACTCGATGATTATTCTATGACTCAAGGATTCTCCCCTCCCCACCGCAGCCATCTGCCGATGCTCCAACCAGCTCTGATTTCCTTCCAGCCCTCCGACAGCAATGGGCAGCACTACCTCCACTGGTGCAGGTGGGATGTGGGAGTGAAAAGAGGAAGAGATGGAGTGCTGCAGCTCTGCATCATGCGTGGCTGTGGCTGGAGACCTCAGCAGAACCTCTGCTGGGTGCGAGTTCTGCTTTTCTCCCACACGAGGAGCTGATGGAAGCTTTGCCATGCACACGTGGCACTGTGGATCAGAGATGCTCAGCCCCCATCTCAGCCTCACGTTGGGAGCTCAGCAAAACCCTCCGGGCTTGCATTCTGTTGTGTCCATACAAACCTTGTGCACGAAGCAATGGCACAGCAATGGCACAGCAACGCTCAGCGTTTCTGGAAGCTGAATGCCTCCCCGGCCCTCCTGCTGCAATCCTGTGTTCAGCAGCACAGCTGGGTTGCAGCATCAGTACCCCAGGGTGGAAAAGCAGCCTCTCCACTGAGCGCAAAGCAACCGACCCAGACCTCGGCAGGGAGTTTGCTGCCACGTCAGAAAATAAACCAATAAATAAATAACTACAAATCCACCCAATCCCTCCGGTAACGTGGCAACTCCCCAGCACTGCTTTTCTCATCTGTATGCTTTGTCACAGCCCCGCACCATCCGCCGGGTGAGTGCCATGGCAACGCTGTGGTCTTTAAACACAGGAGTTTGTGCTGTGATGGCAAACAGCATTAGGCAATTTAATTAAGCAGCTGGCAAAGGAAAAACTTTGCCTGTTTGAGGCGTTTTATTAAATTCGGGGGCATTATGCAGCTCTACGCCCTTGCTGCATGGTTGGAGGGATGCTCCTGCCCCGGCCCTGCTGCAGCTTCAAAGCAAATAAACAGCAAGGAGTAGAGGATGGGAAATCCTACGTGGATCCTTGCAACCAGCAAAGGCACGGATGGGGCAAAGCCATTCTCTGTGCTGAGCTGCTACCCCCCAGAAAGCATTTGCACAAGGCAGGGAGCAGAGCCCTGCGTTGCTGCTCTGGGTGTTTCTTTCCTCTGCTAAGCCACGTTTTGTGCAAGCAGACTCAGGGACTCTGCTTGCTGCCTGAGGGCCTCGTCCTGCAGCTCTCCTGGCAGGGAGGGAGATAAGGTTGGTTCTGCTCATCCAGGAAGAAGCCAGCAGATAAAATGCTGCCAGGCAGCGTGCAAAGCAAACAGCTCCACTGCTGCATCTCCTATCAGCCCCATCCACCCGCAGCCAGCGGGCAGCAGCCACGCTCACACCCTTATCAGACTGCTGCTCCCCTCCCCCCCAACAGTGCTTTGGGTGGTTTTTAATGAGGAGGGTTGGGAAATGAAGCTGCTCTTCCTCATCTTTTACTTTCAGGCTCTGGACCCACAGGTGTCCCTGGCTTCTGTGCTGGCTCTGAGTGGTCCTGTGCCACCCTCCAGCTATGGGAAGCCCCGAGGCTGTTTCATTGAGATAACTCCACCAGGAGCCCTGGGGCTGCCTGCTTTCAGGGTTGGTCTCAGGGTTATCGTGTGCATTTGTAAATGTCTTTCAAAAGCAAGCTGGAGGAGCTGACTGATCTCCTGGCTGGATCGCTGGGAAGATGGATTCTCAGCCTCAGCTTGTGGCTGAATCGTTCCTCACTCTGAAATATTGTGTCCTCAGCAGACCCTGTGCTGCATTGGGCAGCACCTCGGTGTGTTTTTGGATGCTGCTCACAGGACTGGCACATCTCCGGGCTGCAGCAGGGCTCAGCTGTGCGTGGCCACTGCAGCTCTGTCCCCTTCCTCCTCACCCTCCCATTGCAAACAGCCCAAACCCAGAGCATCCCCAGTACCACGGGATGGAGATGGGAGAGGTGGGGATGGGATGGAATGGTGGCTGCTTCCCATCCTTCTACCACCGACTCCGCTGTGCTGCTGTGCTCATCCTCCAACTTGCTGTTTGCCCTTTCCAACTGTTGCTGCACTGTCTCTGTTTCCAGAATGCTATCTCCCCAATCTTATTTCTGAGTGGCAATAGCTAATTTAGAGCTCTTCACTGCGTAAAAGCCTCTGAGAGCCTCGTGCAGGGTTCCAAATGCCATTTGGCTCCTTCATCACCCGCAGGCTTTAGAAAATGCTGTCTGCTATCGACGGAGCTCAGCACTGAGTCCATTCAGCTCCCTGCAGTTCTTTTGC